GGCAACATTAGACAAAGAGGCTGGTAAGGTTAGTGTATTGCCTGGGGTAGTAGCTAAGGTGCAGGAACCCAGAGAGTCCAAGAGAAGGTGGCTTAAATATGCTAAAAGTTATTTACCACACAACAGTCCAGAGGTAGGCAGGCAGTCCAGGGCAGCAAGGCAGCACCTTTTGTTGAGTCCAGGAACCCAGGCTGGGAAGTCAGCTCTGCCCGTCTTTCCCTGGTGTTTTCCATCAATGGGTTGAACATTCTCCAGGATGTGGGGGAAAGGAGGAGAAGTTTCCTTTAAAATAGATACAACTTAGAAATTGCACACATCACTTTTTTTTTTTTTGAACCCAGGGGAGCTTAGCCACATCCCTAGCCCTTTTTATGTTTATTTGAGAAAGGGTCTCACTAAGTTACTTAGGACCTTGCTAAATTGCTGAGGGCTGACCTTGAATTTGCAATCGTCCTGCCTTAGTCTCCCGAGCCACTAGAATACAGGCATGCACAACCTCCCCTAGCTTGCACACATCACTTTTGCTCTTTTCCCATTGGCTAGAACTATTTATTTCCCTTGCTTCCAGCTGGCAAATGTAGTTTCTACCCTGCTAAAATTCATAATAAGGGTTCCTTTACTAAAAAGGAAGAAGGAGAGACTGGATACTGGGAACTAGATAGAAATCTCTGCCACAAACTTTTATGACCCATCTATGAGTAAAGTGATGAAAATCTGAGCATTAAGTACAGAGGGGTTTTCTTTGCATTTATACATATCGTTTTGGGGGGAGATGGAGTGAGAGGAAGAGGCAATTATGTTTTAATACTGAGGTTGTTAGTTGGCTAGTACTATGGATCAAAAAACCTTTCTGTTCACCTCAACATGTCCATATTCCAGTATATCAAATGAGCATCAGAATGTGCTTCCCTCAGTAGAGAGATGTGGAGGAAGAGATGGCTTGATGCAATTGTAGAAGATGCAAGAAACAGCATGGAAGTCATGATAACAGTGGCTGGGGCAGAGGGACAATGGGCTGACACCATCGTCACCATTGAGTGAGGCACACAGTGGTAGTTCCTGCAGAATGGTGGGAAGATGGAGGAGGCACAGGGAGGATCCTACACATGTGGCCACATGGAGAGGCGAGCCTTGGCTGTGATGGTGGGGCATCAAGGGAGACTGTGGAGGGCTGTAATAAAACCCACAAAGATGTCATGGAAGAATTTGGCAAGAGCATTTTATACAGTGACTAACAGCAATAAGCTTAGAGTTTCAAAGCATTGAGCTAGAAGAGGGTTGAAGCTGAGAAGGTCTCCGGAAGAGCATTATTTTGTTTCTCTAGAAGCTAATAGGTAATAGAGAAGTCATAGGTAGAGGAAGCAGAAGCAGTGACTGGATTGGGCATCACTTAGAAATGGAAGGGGGAAGAAAAATGAGTTCAGGATGCCCCAGAGGCTGAAGCACGTGAATCATTGTGCATAAATGTGGATGCAGACTCATCAGCAGGGAATTCCCACTTCTTTGGATTGAGCTTGTGGGAGCTTTGAAGATGTTTAGATGTCACGAGCCGTCTGTGGGCTGTGTGTGGACTATGTTGTGCATAGTAGCTTAATAAGAAGATAAGTCTGGCATTGGGAACCTCCCATGGCACCCCTACAAGGACTGATTGCCTGAGGCAGGTGAACTTGCCCCTCAAGCTCAGCCAGAGATCCCACACAGCACCTGAGATGGGTGTGATGGGCCAAGATGTCAATCAGCCTGCTGACTGCAAAGACTCCGCCCTTGAAACCTTATCCCTGCCTTTGATGTCCCACCCCCAACCCGGCCATATAAATAAAGCAAGTGCAGGCTCCATTTTGCCAGACTATAGAAGCTTGATCCATCTGATAGGCTTGCCTTGCCCATCCTGCCCCCACGCTCGAAACTACTTTCTGTGTCCTGTGGGTTTTTTTCGTCCTTCTATTTTTCTTAGCTTTTATTTCTCAGCCAGCCCATTCCACCGAAGGGAACTCCATTTCCACCGCCTGTGCAGGATGCAGGCGAGAAAGAGAAATTAGCAAGGAGAAAAGGAGGGTAAGAAAACAGTGAAAGAATAATAATCATTCACTGAAGAGCTGGCAACCTCAGAAATTCTATTTGTTAAATTTTTATGTGAGTGGCCCAGGAGAGAAAACCATCACAAAACCACTCGATCACCCTGCATTTTCGTGAGTACTCACCTCCTCTTCTAGGGCAAGAATTTTTTTTTTTCAATGATACCTGCTGAGGAACTAGAAATTTCTTGCTCCCTGGTTGCCTAGTTCATGGAGGGAATTTTTCTTTCCCAAGGGTTGTCTCCTGGGTCAATCTGGATAAGCCATGCTATTTTGTTATTGTTGTTGTGTAAATCATCACAGAACCCACTCTTTTTGGTGGAGGCTTTTGCAAACTCAGGGAATTCTTAGATAACCCATTTATTTGAACTGACAGTTGCTCCCAGTGGGCTTCCCCGTGGGACATGTTGGTAGGGGAGACCTGGTGGTAAGGGCCATGTACACAGCACTTCTTCATCTCTGCATTCACACATAGGAATCGGGACACAGCTGTACTCCCGGGAAGAGTCTGTATGTTTAAATATTACTCAAAAAAAGGAAATCTGTAAAATCAGAACACTATTCTAAGTAGAATCACATCATCTACTTTTCAGAAACACTTTTAGAAACTGACAAGCATAGTCCTGACTTATTATGTGTATATGTGGATAAGAATGGGAAGGTTATGTTAAAAAAAAATAAAGTTTGCTTTCAATAGAGCCAACACAATGACATCAAATATCAATTGTTTTATTTATCTGAGGACTACTGAATGTGACATTTTGCTGTGCTTTGAATATGATTTGCCCCTTTAGAAACACCTCTTGAAGTCTACTCTCAACTGTGAGGTATCAAGAAGGTGGAAACCTAATTGGACGATAGTATTGATAGGCCTTTGGGAGGTAATTAGGATTAGATGAGGTCATCAGGGTAGAACCTCCTTGACTGATATTGGTGGCTTTATAAAAAGAGATCCAGAAGAGACCCTCCCATCCCCTGCCTTTTGCTATGTGATGTCCTGCAATTCCTCCGGACTTTGCCAGAAATAAGGCCATCACCATGTGCATTACTTCCATACATACAGAAGACATTGTGTGGAGACCACTGTGACCTAATGAACTCCAGATCCTGAGTCCACCCCTTAGAAGCTGAGTTTGAGCCTGATTTTACTTCTTAGAAGCTGAACTATGTTGGGCAAGTTTCTTGACCTCCTGCTCTTCAGTTTCAACCTTAGTCATGGATGATTGGATGGTTGGTAATTATTATTAGCTATGAGGATTAAATGAGAGAATTCATATGAAGTGGTGGTTCTCAAAGTTTAGCAGGTATCAGGACCACCTGGAAGGCTGTTAATGTAAAAAATTTCTGAGTTCATACCCCAGGTAGGTCTGTAGTGGAGCCAGAGCATTTACATTCCTGATGAGATCTCAGATGATTCTCATGTCGCTGGCCTGGGACCTCTCTTAGAAAAACACTGTGTTATAGTTTGGATCCTAAGTGTCCTCTAAAGGCATGGTCTCCAACATGGTGCTACTTGGAGGTGGAGGAAACTTTAAGAAGTGAGGCTACTGTAAGGTCTTCTGGTCATCAAGGCTGCATCTTGGAAAGAACAGTGGGTCTCAGCTACTGTTTTTTTTTTTTTTTTTTCTCTTTAGCTTACCATGAACAACTTTACTCCACCATGTATTCCCCAATATGATGTGTTATCCTGAGACAGGAACAAAAGCAATGGAGCCAACTAACTATGGACTAAACCTCTAAAACTGTAAGCCAAAATAAGGCTTTTCTCTGTATAAGTTTACTATCAAAGGTATTTGTTATAGTGGTGGAAAACTGACTAATATACTCTGTTATATGACATTTAATACTGTGTCTAATCCATCACCAGAACCCAACAGTGTTAGATGTTTTATGATAACCATCTTTATGATGTGTGTCAGGAGAGTTTCTGGGAGCAAGAAATATCACATTTTATTAGAAATTTCCAACCCATCTTCATTATTTTGATGTTTATGAAGAACCTACAAAGAGCAAGATAATACCCACAATGTTCTGTGTACCTAGTTAGAGCCAGTGGGTTTGTGGTAAGGTTTGTCAGTAGGTGGAGCTATAGCGCATAAGCTACTGACCATTATACTACCATCTGAAATATTTTGCACCATTTCGGTTGTCTATAAAACATAGAAAATAATAATGAAAATCCCCTTTTGTAATGAATCGTGATAATATATTTCCCTGTGATTCTTCATCTCTATTAAAAAGACTATGCAGAAAAGACTGGGATTCAAATCAGTAGACTAAGTAAAGATCTGCCCTCACCAATGTAGGTCGACAACATCTAATCCATAGAGGGACCATCCAAATAGAACAGAAAGATGGAGGAAGAGTCAATTTGCTCTTTTCTTAAGCAGAGATATCTACCTTCTCCTGTCCTGGGACATAAGAGTTCCTGGTTCTTGAGACTTCAGACTCTGGGATTTACATGAGATCCTCAGGTGTTGGACCTCAGACTGGAAGTTACACCATCACCTCCCCTGATTCTCTGGCCTGTGGATCTGGACTGAATGACACCACTAGTTTTCCTAAGTCCCCAGCTTATAGACATCATATTATGGGACTTCTCAGCCTCCATAATCATGTGAGCCAATTCCTGCAGTTAATCCCCTCATGTACATATATCTTACTGATTATGTTTCTCTGCAGAACCCTAACACATTAACCAAGGTTTTTAATCATTGTGGGCTAATTCTCAACTTACCTAGGGTTATTTTCAAAGAATAACAACGGGATACACATAAGTTCAATCACACCTCTGCAGACGTTGCTCCTTGGAAGTTATCACATGTTGTCTAGTTTTCCTTCCCTAAGATTATTTTCCATAGGGCCTTCATTTCTTTGGAGAAAAATATTGTAAGAAGGCAGAAACCACACAGACAAGATAAACAATTAGTTTGATAGACTCATCTTTATTTTGACATTTTCCAGTATTTATAACAGTTTCCTTTGAAAGGGGGAAAAAGAGAATAAGTATGACTTGGAAGATATATATACCCAAAGATGATCTAGGACTGTAGATATTCCATTCCATTCCAAGATCCAAAGGTAACAGGTTTTCTTTTCCCATGAGCCAGGCTAGCTCTAAGAATCCTCAAAAGTGTTTTTTGTTGTTGTTTTTTAATATTTATTTTCTAGTTGTGGTTGAACACAATACCTTTATTTTATTTATTTATTTTGAATGCATACTTTTTTATATGCATTTTTTTGTGTGCGTGTATGATGCCAGGGTCTTGTGCATGCGAGGCAAGCACTCTACGAGCTGAACTATATCCCTAGCCTTTACTTACTTATTTTTATGTGGTGCTGAGAATCAAACTCAGGCCTCCCACATGCTAGGCAAGTGCTCTGCTACTGAGCTACAACTCCAGCCCATAAGCTTCTTTTAATTTAGGCTCTAGGATACCATTTTGTGGATTTATATCTGTTCTGCTGAAAGGACAGCTCTACTATAAGTAAAATTTTTAAAAAATATTTATTTATTTATGTATCTTTTTAGTTTTAGGTGTATACATTAGTTTGTTTTTATATGGTGCTGAGGATCGAACCCAGTGCCTCATGCATGCTAGGCGAGCACTCTACCACTGAGCCACCACCCCAGCCCCTATAAGTAAAATTTAAAAAAAATTATTTGCCCAACATTCTAGGTATATAGGTATAAATAGTCATCATAGTACAGATGAAAAAAAAAACTAATCTTAGAAAGAGTAAAGGTTTTACTCTTTTATTTTAAAATTTATAAAAGGTTTTACTCTTGGATTTGCTTCTTTCTGAGTAATACTGTATGAGTTTATTGTATTCTCTGGGCCTCATTTTCCTCATGTGTAAAATGGCAATTCCTTTCCTATATATTTCATAGGGGGTTGATGAGTCTAATTCCAAGGAATGCAAAAAAAAAAGAGGGGACTTATTAATAACTTAATTCAGGAGCTGGGAGTGTAGCTCAGAGGCACGTGGGAGGCCTGGGGTTCGATGCCCAGTACTGTAGTGAAAAAGAAAAAAAATTAAAAAGATGAACAATAATAATCAACCTACTTTTATGAGACCCGTATACAAACTGTATCAAATGGCATCTGAAGGATTATAAATCTAAGGCAATTCGTGTGCTGCTTTTTAAAAGGGCTGGGATGAATACTTCTTACAGTAAATATCAAGAGCACAAATCATCTCATTTCCCAAGTTATTGCTCACCTCAGTCACATTTGTTCAGATATTTCAGTCCAAGGAGTGTGCTTCAAATAGCTGGGGATTCGGACTGCTATACCTCCTTTTACAATTTGCTGTTTTTGTTTTTCTGATCACAACATTTTGTTGATGGGATTTGGAACATTGCTGTATTTGAGGGCTACAAAGCATTGTCATCAAATGAAGACAATAATCAGCCATATCAAATTAAATGTCCCAAACTATAATTTATATTAATTAATTATTTTTGTTTGAAAGAAAGCTGCCTTTGTTGAAGTGCACAGACTATAAGATACAAAAACCTTTTGTGATTGGTTCAAACTTCCTATAGAATTCCCACCAATTTCTTCACCTCCTGGAGGACAGGATAGGCTAATTCTTTGGCTTTTGCTGACCCAGCTTGTAAAACCTTCTCTAAATATTCCTTGTCCATCTTCAGTTTTTCAATTTCATTTTTAATTGGAGCAAATTTCTCAATCACAGCATCTGCCACCACCAGTTTGTAGCGGGCAGTATCCATGCCTGTGCTGCGGCGGACCACCTCCTCCGTGGTGAGCCCTGTCACCGCAGCGTGAATCGAGACCATGTTGGAGACGCCCTCTCGGCTGGCAGGGTCGTAGGTGACCTCTGAGGTGAAGTCCGTCACAGCCTTGCGGAATTTCTGCACTATCTCCTCTGGGCTGTCTGTTATTCGGATGGTGGCCAGTTTGTCAGGGTCAGATTTTGACATTTTGGAAGAAGGGTCACGGAGGGATTTTACCTTCTTCATGGATGCTAGGTCAAAACACCAACACACATGCCAAAAAACAAAAACAAAAACAAAAACACAAATAAATCATCAAGACTCACTGCTGGAATCTGGAAGATATCAAGAATACCAATGACTTTTTTACCTGTCTGGTTATAAAAATAGCAAATATTCATTGTGAAAAAGTCAAGCAATTTATGTAAGTATGAAAGTAAAGATTATCTGAATTATGTAACACTGTTAACATTTTCTCCATACTTTCAGGCATCTTTTAATGCATTTGTCCACCTAAAATGTATACTCTTACCCAGATGAAATTATGCCAATCATACTGCTTTTGCTGTGTACAACTTTTAAAAAAGTATTGTTTCTTCTCCTCTCTGCGCTTCCCTATTAGTAATCATTTATTTACCCCCTGCAACCATTGCCATTTCTACCCCCCAACCAGTTTTAACAATCTGCAGTAATCCTTCTATTTCTTTACCCAGGATTACACACATACACACACACACACACACACGAGAAATGGCTTGTTTATTGCTCTGATAGAATCAAGATGTTAAGCTGTGCTTCATAAACCAGTGTTATTAATAGTTGCCTATTTTATGGCTATTACAGAAGCATATAAAATTGAAAGGTAAAATAATAATGTCATATATTAAAATTTTATTTATTTATTTATTTGCATTACAATTCTTAATACACCATTATACATTAAAATCTGATTGTTAAAAGAAGTCTGACTTCAATGCCTGGGATTTCTTGAATTTATTTGTGTGAATTTTTGAAATTACCTGGAAATTTATACCTGACTTCTGTCTTTGAGTTGAATCTAGGATCATATTATACTCCTTTACAATGTTGTCAGCTTAATAAAGATGAACAGTGCTTAGGTTCCATGATCTCTGCCCCTGCCACAAAATTTACAAGTCTATCAGAATGCTGGTAGACTTACAGCATCAAGAAGGTTCCAGACTAGCATAGCAATGGAGGCTGAGGCTGATCTCTGAGACCCAGCAGGTGGATTGTACATTCCATCTCCGAGGTTCACTTAAGAAGACAGAACATGAGGATTACAGATTCCCTCTTATTTGATGTAGATTGGGATACTTTCATTTTGCTGTGAGTACTCAGGAAGGCAAGGTAAGTAGGCTTTGGGCTTACAAATGCTCAGCATAGGACCCAACTCTGCCACAACTAGACATGTGACTTGGACACAAAGTGAGCCTTGCCAAACCTTTGTTTCTTTACCCATAAAAGAGGTGAAGATATCTGCTCTACCCAATAAAGTTTGTTATTTTAAATATATCTATTAGGTAAATTATATAGTACTTTACAAATTAAAATCATTTTTAGTTTGTAGTTTCTTCCATACTTCTCAAACATTTTAGTTATCTTTTTCAATAATCTAGGGTGACGTGCTAGTCCTACATGACAGAAACAATGAAGATTCGAGTTCCAAATCCTGAAGTTTGTCTATGAGAAAGCCAAGTTTTGTCCTAAGACAGTTCCCAGCCTCCATCTATTATCCAGTTTTCACTTCAGAATATGCCCGGATTTAACAATCATGTGTTTGTTACTTACTGAGGATGGATTTGGGCACTGGAAAGAACTCCCCATACTTCTTGTTGAAACCTTGTGCTAGATCCTGAACTAGTTCCATGTGCTGGATTTGGTCCTCCCCGACAGGAACGTGTGTGGACCTTTAATAAAAGACAGAAAAACTCAGCAAGGCTTCTTCTTAGATGGAAATGATATTGCAAGCAGCTGCATTTCCTGTGTCTATTTCATTGTTAGTGTTCAACAAATGTTCACAGACTACAGAGGGAACGTTGAGACCCAAGTCTTTATCCATGTATCAGACAAATGCTGGAGAGATGTTTGTCTATTCTGGTTCAGTTTCTTCCATAGCAGAAGAATACAGCCATCAACACCAGTGTGACAGGATCTTGCTGGGAGGGAGGCATGGGATCTTCAATAGCATATGCGTTACACATAATTGTATTCTAAAACCACTCCTCATTCCCTCACTCAGTCAGCACATATAACCCGAGCCTGACCAGATGCTTTTTACTCAGAGCAGTGGCTTGCACTTGAAAGACACACCTCCACATCTTCAAATCAGATATGGCAGAAAGCTCTCTCTCAGGCAAGTGTTTTCCCTCCCTGTCACACAGGGAGTGATTCAAGATCTTTTTGGAACACACTGTCATTTTCAAGTAAATTGCAATCATAGGAGAATTAAGATGCTGGAAGGAACATAAATAAACAACATCTCCAGGTACAATAATAGATAGATCTTGCGTTTTTCAGCTTCTTGTTGCTGAAAATACCTGACTTGAACAACTTAGAGGAGAAAAAGTGTCTTATGGCTCACGGTTTCAGAGGTTTCACAACATCCTGGTGGAAGGGCAAGGTGGAGGAGCTGCTCCATTCATGGTGGCAGGAGGCAGAGAAAGGGTAAGGAACCACAGAGTAGATGAACCCTTCCAGGGCACGCCCCCAGGGACCTTTGGCCTCCAGCCACCACCAACCTGCCTACAGTTACCACCAAGATAGTCCTTTCATACTAGCATGGTTGGATTAAGTTACAGCTCTTATTATCTAATCTTCCCACCTCTGAGCATTCTTACATCAACACAGCAGCTTTGGGGAGATAACTCATATCCAAACCATAACAAATCTCAAAAACAATGCTGAATGAAGGAAGCAAATTTCAGAAAACACCTAGGGTACACATTGGCATTTACGTAAATCGTAAAAGTACATAGGAAAATACTACACATTGCTTATAGAGGCATAGATCTGGAGTGATAAGTACGAAAACACACTGGAGGGGTCTTCTCAAATTCATGACCATAGCTGCTTCTGGAGAAAGAGAGAAGGAGATGGGTCTGAGGAAAGGAACAAAGGAGGCCTGAATTTTATCTATAATATTTTATTAAAAAACAAAGATGTGAAACCAAAAATATCAGAATGTGGAGAATCTATTTATAATGATTTGAATTACACATATAAAATTTGTAGGGTCAGATCATGATGAGGTTCATCAAGAAGAATTAACCATTTCAGAGAAGATCTAGTGGGGAAAACTGTACTGAAGTGTTACTGTGGATGGAGATAGGTGATGTTAGTATTTCATATCTTGATTGGCAAGTTTATATTTGATATTTGATAATATAAATATAATAAATAAAGTGCCATAGTTTTTTCTTTTCTTTTTGGGTACTAGAAATTGAGCCCCAGCAGTGCTTAACCACTGAGCTACATCCCCAGCCAATTTATTTATATTTTTATTTTGAGACAAGGTCTTGCTAAGTTCCTCGGGGCCTTGCTAAATTACTTAGGCTGGCTTTGAACTTGTGATCCTTCTGTCTCAGCCTCCTGAGCTGCTGGGATTACAGCATGTACCACTACGCCCAGCTACATAGCTAGTTCCTTTCAAGGAAGTTCAATATTACTCCTGGGAGAAGCAGTCAGTTATCATGGGCAAGTTTCTTACCCTTTCCAAGCTTTCAATGTCTCTGTAATGCTGCTTATCTCGCTGGGTGGTTTCAAGGATAACAAACATAGTGCTTGATGCTAAGGGCTCAGTAACCCTTGCTGGTGGTATGCCATATTAAGGGCTGACATAATGAAGGACAAAATGGCACAAGGAAGATATATAGAAGGGTCCTTGATGTGAGGTGCACTGTGACATTTTTCAAAGAGATCATTTCCTTTTTTGGTAGCTGACTCATATACCACAAACACATAGTCCCAGAGATGGTCAGAGACCTGGGTGGCAATCCTGATACGGGTAGAAAACATACCTGAAAGGGACACTTCACCTATCAGGTGGTCCCCAAATACAGACAGTATGCTAATATAATTCTGAGAACTCTTTTAATTTAAAGAAAACAGCAGGGACAGAGCAATGAATGGAAAGGTAAACTCCAGGGACAAAGAAGATGAATCAGGAAGTGCTTTCTGTTCTTAAGTTAGTAAATAAATGTAGGAAATTCTACTAAAGGATTGTGAGGGCCATGTCCATTGTTCTCTTCCACACAGTGTGGAGCAGAAAGCCACTGGCTCAGTGGTTAAAAAAAAAAAAAGATGTAGGCCCTGGGTGTAACCCATTCATGCCTCACCTTTGAGAATTTCCCTTCTTTGGACCTTGTTGCTCCTGTCTGGTAATTAGAGTGAGGCTGACGTGCAGAGGTCACTTTGACTCCCCCAAACCAAATTAGCCAACAGAGCAGGTTAAAAAGCAATTACAGTAGCCCATAGGAAATCAGAATGGACTGCAACTAACACAGAAAAAACAATTACCATAATCAATACACTTTAAGCACATCAGAATGAATATTTCCACATGCCAAAATGGTTCCAGATTCACCAAGCAACCAAACTAAACAGAAAACACATTTAGTTTTCATAATGACGCTGTGTGCGTCTTGCCTTATGTCGGATCCCTGCCTCTTTGCTTACAATTTGGTGAGGTTTTGATTTTTTTTTTTTTTTAAAGGAATAAAAAAATTTTAATTTTTTTCACCTGGTCCCATTGCGCCACGTGGCTTTTGCATCTGACTTTGTTTGTTTCTGGTCTCTCCTCCTCCTGCTCCTGCTTTTCCTTTCACCTCCTATAATTTATCTTGGCCTTTACTTCTTATCCATTGAGTTTACACTTCACATTAATTCAGCCTGTCTTTGATTCTACTCACTTATGGGGCTTATTCTTTTCACGTTTTTAACCTCTCTCCTCATACTCTTCCTTTCACTTCAAATAATTTAGTGCTGCTCTTTTAAAATTTATACCCAACTTAATGATATCCATATTAATGTGCCTACTCTTTTTCTTTTTCTCCAGTTTCTTTTTTTCCCCCTTACCCTGACTGTGCTTTCTTAGACACAACATAAAACAAAAGTCTTTCATAATTTTGATTGTTATAACTTCTGTCACATAATAATGCGTCTGATCTTCTTCTTTGGTGACTAAACCATTTTTCTTTTGCTTAGTTCCTTATTGCATCTTCATTTACTTGGGATCCACCCCACCCCTCTGGCAGAATTAGTGTCCAGATGAATAATCATTGCTTACATATATCTGCTTGCAGAGATTTGTTCTCTTGTCCCCCCACCCCCACCCCCCTCCTACTTTCTTGGCTTGTGTTTGTGGATTTTCAATGCTGCTGCTTTTACCCAGCCTGACGGGACAGGGGTTTGGTGTTGTCTTTTCTATCATGAAGGATTGATCCCCCATCCCTGGGCAATTGTTGGATGTGCTATAATAACTCTAATTCATCAATTATTTAGAAGACCCACAATGTGAAAGGTCCAGTGCTGGGTACTGTGAGAGATATAATAAAGTGGTTACCATCTCCAGGAGGATAGATATTGAATAAAGCTATACATTCTTCCAGTTAGTCCTCTTTCAGTATTCTCATTGCAACACCATCAATCTAGTTACCCAAGAAATGTGCGGTCATCCCTGACAGCCCACACTCCTGCACATCCAGTCCAATGGGAAGCCCTTTCATTCTGACCTCCTGAAAAATCTCCTACATTTGGTGAGGCACCATGGTGCACACCTGTAATCCCAGAAAATTGGGAGGCTAATGCAGGAGGATGACAAGTTCAAGGCTAGCCCCAGCAACTTAGTGAGACCCTGTTTCGGGAAAAAAAAAAAAAGTAAAAATGGCTGGAGATGTAGCTCAGTGGTAAAGTGCTTCAGAGTTCAATCCTAGTGCCATACCCCCAAACCAAAAAATCTTACATTTGGCTGCTTCTCCTTCCTCTTCATCATGGTCCAAATTAGACCAGTGAAATAGCCTCTGAAAAGTTCATCCTAGCTGTGCATCTGTAACTCATTTTCGGTATTTTAATCAGTTATTTAAGTATAAATTATATGAAATTTATTCTGTCTTTAAAATGTACAAAAAGCTTCCCGCTATGTTTGATGAGCTGACATCTTAGCTCAGCTCTCTTCCTTCTATGCTGTCTCCCTCTTTTTAAGGGCTAGCAGCCTAGAACCTATTTCAGATTGCCTTCCTAGGGTTTTGGTTTAGTGTAGCACTTGCCTGATGGCTAGAAAGAAGAAAGAGAAAGAGAAGAAATGATTGTTCAGAGAGTTGTGGATGAATATGTGGGTATTAGCAGTCTGCAGAAATGAGGCCCAGGCAGCTGCTTGCAGGATCTCATAAAAATCCAGGATAGCCTGGTCTCACAGAGAAAGGAAGTAGTTTAAGAACTGGAAGTCCTCAAAGCAGTTTTAGGAACTCCAAACTTTTAAGACGAGCTCTCAAAAAAGTTATCAAGGGCAGAAGTCTGATCCTCATACATTATGAAAACTTTTCTCTGACTCGACTTATTGAAGTATTGTCCACTTTACTCTCCCTACTTTTTGGTTTTGGTTTGGTTTGTGTTGATTTCATAAGTCCACTTCCCCACTGGGAGGTGGTGGAACCTTTAGGAGGTGAAACTTAGTGGAAGGAAGTGAACTCACTGGAGGATGCCCTTGAAAGGAATAGTGGGGCACTGGCTCCTTCCTGAGTCTGTTTTGCTATCTAGCTGCCATAGGGTGAGCAGCTTGGCCTCACCACATACTTCCCACCATGATGTTGTGCCTCATCACAGGTTCAAAGTGACAGTCAAGGGACCATGTACTGAAACCTCTGAAACTATAATATACCTTTCCTCCTTTAAGTCGACTTACCCCAGGTCTTTTGTCACATGATAGAAAGATGGCTAATGGCTTGGTTTCTTCTTACTCAGTTCTTTTTCTTCTTCCTGTGCTGGGGATTGAACCCAGGGCTTCAAGAATGCTAGGCAAGGGGCTGGGGCTGTAGCTCAGTGGCAGAGCTCTTGTCTTACACATGGGAGGCCCTGGGTTCAATCCTCAGCACCACATAAAAATAATCAAATAAAATAAAGGCATGCTGTCCATCTATAACTACAAAAAAAGAAAAAAAAAAAAAGAATGCTAGGCAAAGGCTCTACCACTCAGCTACAACCCAGCCCACTCCATTTCTTAAGGTTACTGTTCCCTCATATCAGCTTTTGCTTTCACTATCTTCTTATCCTCCTCTCATGTTTCTCAGTTTATTTTTTTTGTATTGGGATTGAACTCAGGGGCACTTTACCACTGAACTATATTCCCTGTCCTATTTATTTATTTACTTATTTAGAGACAGCATCTTGCTAAATTGCCTAGGGCCTTGCTAAGTGGCTGAGGCCAGCCTTGAACTTGGGATCCTTTTCAGCCTCCCAAGGATCTGAAATTACCGAAGTGCACTACTGTGCACAGCTTCAGTTCAAATTGTTGAGAAAGATAACCTATTGGACAGTCAATCATTCTCTAATGTGAGTAGACATAACAACTCTTCCCTGAAAGTTAATTTCTTTATCTGTAAAATGGCCCATCACCCATTTATCCTACAGAGCTGCTGTGAGAATCTGAATAGATAATGTGTGTCACAGCTATTATAATATCTGGCAAACAATGATGGACACATGTCAATCCTTCCTTCTCTCTCTCTCAAGGCCATGTACAGTTCCTTTTTTTGAATTAGTGACTTACCAAATAGTTGCTGAATTTGAATAAAAACTACATGTGTGTATCTGAGAGGGAAAGACACACATATGAAGAGAAAGAGAGAAAGAAATGTATACTTAATATAGAGCCAGTCTATTGAAATTAGGCATTCAGATAAATAATGCAGGGTACAAAATAAAAATTATGAATACTTGCTATTTTTGAATATTTTACCTTCCTTCAAATGGCTGCTATTTATTATGCTTTCAAATTAAAGACAATCTCAGGTCTCTATTCTTGGGTTCCTTACCAAGTTCCACCAAAACATTATGTAAGTCTTTTATTAACCGATCTGGAAGATTTTTCTTTCTCTTGTGTTTTTCCTCCAGCCCACAGTACCTAACGCTGATTTTAACAAGAGCAAACATTAAGTCTGTATTTAACTTATAGCAACGTTTTATGAAGAGGCCACATAGATTTACTGGCAGAAAACAAAACAAAACAAAATAAATGTTTTATCCATCCTTCAACCTACCAAACTACCTGTCTATATTTATAATGTAAATATTCATAGACATTCTGGCTATGACCTTTTCCAAAATCCAGAAATATCTGAAATAAAACAAAAACAAATAAACAATACCCCCACGAGTGCAGGTTGTCTAACCTGAAACCAGACGGGAGGCAAATGTTGGGCTGTTCTTCCTAAGAATAAGAGGAGGCAGATGTCTGCCCATGTCTATTATCTAATTATGGCACCAGATCTGGCAGATAGCTAGAAGGCTAAGGTAGTAGGCACTCATCTTGAACACAGATAATTATCTAGTTGTACAGAAAAACATCTCTATCTATTTGAACAATCTGTAACTAAAATGCCAGAATGCTGATGAGGATGGATAAGAATCCCTCCACTATTATCCTCCTTTTAGAAGGTAGTCAAGAGAGAGGCACCTCATGCTTTCCTTAAGACAAGTTCTAACCACCAAATAGACCAGCAAACGTGAAAGGACGAATATGTATCATATGGGAATTTCTTTGCTACAGAGAGCAGGCTCGGGGATAATAGGCTGAAAAATAAATGCCTATCCTTGGGGTCAAGTATTTTTATGTGAGAATCCTGCTGATGTTGTAGAAAGTAAGACAGACAAGAAGTCATCAGAGACTTTCAAGGTTTACCTTCCATGTCTGAAATACTTATAGTTTTGTATGAGATAAAAGGGCATTCACAGCCTCAAGCCTGGCTTTAAAAAGGACAGCACATAAAACAAGTTTTGAGATCTTAAGAGGCTATTTTTGCCAATGTCAGTCTTTTTTAGAAGTTCCTCTTATATCTTAAAATACCAGGTGATATCAATTCGTACATAATTTGCTCAATAACCCCCACAGGTATATCCAAGAGTCCACTTATGGATAAGAGAACTGGAGTATTTTACGATTCTTCCAATTGTATTTTGGGAAATTGAGAAAAACATACAGTATTTCCCCCTTATCCAAACTTTTAATTTCTGCAGTTGTAGTTAGCTGGGGTTAACTGTGGTCCAAAAATATTCCAAAAATTCCAGAAATAATCGATTCATAAGTTTTAATGGGCATGACATTCTAAGCAGTATGATAAAAATCTCTCACCATTTCCTGCCCCCATTCATCCTGCTTGGGATGTGAATCATCCTTTGGTCCAGCATATCCATGTTGTATATGCAACCAGCCCATGAATCACCTGGTAGCTACCATGGTCACCAGACGACAGCTGCAGTGTTGGGGGCTTGTGCCCAAGTAACTCATATCTTACTTAATAATGGCCCCTGACACAAGTTCAGTGATGCTGGCAATTCACACATGTCTAAGAGAAGCTGCAAAGTGCTTCCTCTAAATGAAAATGTGGGAGAGTTTTCAGCTAAAGGAAAGGAAAAGAAATCATATGCAAGGTTCCTAAGATTTATAGGACCAGTGAATCCTCTGAGAAATCATGTAGAAGGAAAAAAAAAATGTATGTGTTAATTTTGCTGTCAAATCTCAAGTTGCAAAACTGACAGCCATGGTGTGTAAGTGCTTAGTGCTTACTGTTTACTTCCATCTCATCATGTAGGCACTGTGTCATCCCACACTGTCACAGGAAGGGTGAGTGAAATACAGCAAGATATTTTTGAAAGAGCCCACATTCACATAATGTGTATTCCAGTATATTTTATATTAATTTAAAAAAATCATTTATGTATTTATTTTGATGCATGCTAGGCAAGTGCTCTGTCACTGAGCTACAGCCCCAGCCCTCCAGTATATTTTATGACCATATAATTAGACTTCATTCTGCTTCCTTTAAAATATCATTGGCTTGGGGCTGGGGATGTGGCTCAAGCGGTAGCGCGCTCGCCTGGCATGCATGCGGCCCGGGTTCGATCCTCAGCACCACATACAAAGATGTTATGTCCACCAAAAAACTAAAAAATAAATATTAAAAAAAATTCTCTCTCTCTCTCCCTCTCTCTCTTTAAAAAAATAATAAAATAAAATAAAATATCATTGGCTTCCCAAGATATTAAGAGTCTAGCATTTAAGTTGATACAACAAGCAGACACATAATCCCATGTGCAAGTTTTGATCATAATTAAAGACAGGTTGCTTGCTCTCATGGACATTGCCTGTTTGTGGAGTTAGGCAACTATTCTTTGGGCTGTTTCCATCATAATTGTCCAAGGGCTTTGAAGCCCTTCAGCGAGGAGGATACTGTCATCTGTATGCTATCATCAGATTCACAGGCAAAAGAATTCTAGTTCTCCTAGGGGACAATCATGGCTTTAGGGGGAAAGTGATGAGACAACAGTCCCTGATGCTTTCCCAGCAACAAGGCAAAGGCCAGGAGTGCACTTGCCTGGGAGGCTTTGCTTCTAGAAAGTCAAAGGGGTGGGGGCCGGCCAAGAGAGGCTAATGGAGAGAAAGCAGGGAAGAGCTGGGGGAGAAATGAGATCTCAAGTCCTGGCCAGTACAACAGAGAGCACAGAGAGGAGCATTCTTTGTTGTGTATTTTTGAGGCCTATAAATGGCAGTAGTAGTCAACTGGATGGATTATAGGTCCAAGAAAAGTGAGGGCGTATCACACATCATGTTCAAAATATTTTGCTCTCAACCTTCAGGTTAAATATGTAGCCACTACCCACAGGTGGCTATTTAAGTTAATTAAAGAAAAATTTTAAATTCAGTTTCTATGTCACACTAGCAACATTTCAAGGGCTCAATAGCTACATGTGGCTGGTGTTTCTGGATTCAGAAAGTGCAGGTGTAGAACATTCCCACGGTCACAGCAAGTCCTATTGGTCAGCATCACGTTAGAGTGTTGATTACTTAAAAATATATCAACATTTAAAGCTTGAAGTTTGTTCGTGAGGAAATATATATGGCCCCGAGGTTAAGAGGCACAGACCCGAACTTTTGGCACTCAAATCCTGTCTCAGCATGCTACCAACCACTCAGTTGCCTCATCAGTGAGACATGGAAAATAATAGTGCAAATTTTACAAGGTTCTTGTCAGGATGAGTATACATAAAGCATTTATAAAAGCTCCCAATATACAGTAAGTGCTAACTAAGTGTTAGTGCTTAGTATTGTTAGTTTCTCATTGAAGCATATTTCCATATTTTAGTATCTGTTATTAGAGAATAATATAAACTTATTCATGTGTCTAACTCTTTCTGCATGCCCCTTCTCCACGAACCAAGCCTTTGTCAGATGGGTTAAAACACTTTTTTATCATGGCGATGTGTGAGAACAGGGTTGGCCTCTCTCCTTACTTGTAGGAGAGAACGTCAGCTGCTTGGAGTACTGGGTATGTGAGCAGGCCCACAGTCCCGTCGTGCTTCTGCTTGGCAGTCTTTGCCTGTGGGGGATGAAAAGAGGAGGGAAAGAAATCTGATTTGAATTTAATTATATTGCTCAATTAAGAAATTTTTAAAGTAAGCAAAGTGTGATCTGAAGCCACCTGTAATAACATTATATCTCAATTCCTTTTAGCAACTCTAGCCGTCTTTAGCTGGTTTGTCTTCATGCTCCATGCCTGGGCAGGAATAAGGTGAATCAATTTTTCTTCATTTTTTTTTTTTTTTTCTGGTACCGGGGATTGAACCCAGGGGGTGCTTAACCACTGAGCCATGTCCCTAGCCCTTTCTTATATTTTATTTACAGACAGGGTCTTGCTGAGTTGCTCAGGGTCTCACTATGCTGCTGAACTTTGAACTCATGATCCTCCTGTCTCACTCTCCAAGCTGCTGGGATTACAGGTATGCACCACCATGCCTGGCTCAAGGTGAATCAATTTTAATACTGTCCCTTTATTTGATTTATTCATGTGTTTCTGGTCCTGGGATTGAAACCAGGTACCCTCATGCTAAGCACGTATTGTAACACTGAGCTATCCCACAGCCCCTTGCCCGAAGGAAGGATCCCACACCGCTACTACTTTTTACTCAATTCACTAAAGTACATACTAAGGCATTTTCTAGGTTTCCAAATCAGATAAATTCCAGATTTCACAGATAAGAAAAGAAATGATCATGAAATTAAATTTCCACAAATTAACATGAGTTAACATTCTCTTACTACAATTTATCTGATAAGGGTTGGTTAACAATTATCACTGGATAAAATCATGAACATTTAATTTGGAAATGAGCAAATGGGAAAATAATTCAATTTTTAAAAGTTAGCAAAGCATTAGATTTATAGTCTTTTTAATATTCGCATACTGGACCTAGAATTACAAAGTAAGCAAGGAGACATGAAGAACATTGCTTATAGAGCACCTGTTACATCTGCCTTGCCATTTGTTACTCACTAATCCTCCAAATAACCTTAACCTCATGCCCACTCTCCCATCAAAATCAAGCTGGGTGCTATACCCAGGGCCCTAATATCCTGCCCTCAGAGCACTTTTCACATGTTGTGACTTGTATAATGTCTTTCTCTAAATAGACTACAAGCCTCCTTCAGGGCTACTCTGTTTGTCTTGTTGACTGCACTATCTTCAGCACCTAGCATGACAGAAGAAGACTTGCAGAAGGCATTGCTGTAATTCACTAGAGAATGAAGGCCCATAGAAGGCAGTATCACCCCCAGGATGAGGGTTTGAAATCCACGTGTTTCCTATAAATAGAAATCATGGACCAGTGGAGAGGCTTCTCTGGAAAACCAATGTGCTCACAAGACCCTTAGAAGCTATTTCCTAGGGAGAGCAGTTCCTAATTAGTATTAGGTTCCTACAAAAAGGACTTCACCATTCAACTTAGTGGTAGAGTATTGTGATAATACGGGATAATCTTAACCTAAAATCAAAATATAGAACATTAGAGAAGCTAAGGCTAAGGCAAAGTCAGTGTCTAGACAGGACCCACTGCCTGGCTTTGTGATGGTGCCTTCTCTTGTCCTTGCCTGAGGGAAAGGAATAAAGGTCTCCCTGGGGCCTTTTCTCTAAGAGCACTAAATCCCATTCTTGAGGCTCTACCCTGAGACCTGATCACCTCTCAAAGGCTTCTCCTGTGGGGGTCAGACTCACCAAGAGCTACGGGGAGACACAAACGTCAGACCACAGCTTTCAGGCACTGTCACTACAAAGCTGTTTCTATCCTGTATGCAAAGGCTTCTGAAGATCCACTTGAGGCCAATGGCCCTGAAAGTATGCTCAAAGCCAGCTTGAAACTGAAAGTAGTGTTGACATAACTGGGGCTACCTACCCTCAAGTTATCCAATTGCAAAAAAATAAGTGGAAGTAAAGTACTTTGAATTATACAATTTATTTTTCTCAATCAAACTTCTTAGTGAAAGTATATCCTTAATTTTTTCTGTGGGTTTGAACTGTTGCCTGGACTCAACTTGTTTAAATGTTAAATCAAATATGTTGTCTCTTCTCCCCACAGTGAAAACATTTCTTCCTTACTGCCAGTTAATTCCCATGGGGATGGGTGGGCAACAGCAGTAATCCAGAAACTGTGATTATTTGTTAATTATAACATGGTACTTTTCAAATCATTACCAAGTCTATCCAAACACAGACAAAAACAGTTAATAGGATTTTTAAATGAGAAGAAATCTTGGTGAACCTAAGTCACATTTTGTTTAATACCCTGAAGTAGAGAGGTGGAAGAGGCTGTCCCAGCCTTCCGGGGTTGCATTCCACAGAGGAAAGCAAACTCAGGGCTCCCGGGGCCCAACACACGCATAACCAGAAGGGAAAATGGTTTCCTTTCTGATTTTTAAGCAGATCACTGATATTTACCTTCCACTGGTGTAAATGCTGTAATCGAGGCAGCCTGACCATGCAGGTAAGGATCCAGTTTAATTGTGTGTGTTCAGACACCTAAAGAAAGAAAACAACATCAACAAAGGTGGCCAGTGTTTCCTTGCATGGAAACAAACTCAACAGACAGCAGGTATTATCATAAGCCACTGAAGACACCCCAGGTCAAGGTTATTGAAAGAAGGACAGGTGGAAAGGGCTTAGTTGTGATTCATGCTGCATAGAATCTTAGGCGAGGAAGAAATTATAAAGGCCAACTCATACACACACTACTCAAGTGTTCAAGTTCTCCACAGCATCCCTAGCAAGGGGGTGACCAGTCTGTTTCAATATCTTCAGTGAGAGGGATTCATTATGTCCTAAAGCCACCTATTTTACCCTTCAAAAGCTAAACTTACTAAAACAACACACACACACACACGTTCCAAGTCCTCTCTAAATAACTTCAAAGTATATGAAAAAGAACTATAATACATCATATATACATAGCAGAAAAAGGCACCAAAGTTAAATATTGAATTCTTGAGATCTAGAGTGATTTGAATTTTAGGGATTGCTTTATCATCCCATCATCTGGAAGGGTATTTTTATCATTTCTAGTTCTTCCTCTACTTCCTTCTCTTTTTCTAATCAACAGGAAAATATCAACTTTCCCAACTTGTTTTTGTTTGAATCAAATTTAATGAAGTAACCAAAGCTAGCAAAAACTGGGATGATTCTTGGGCCCTGGCCACATTCTAACTGATCACCCAGAATTTAAGTCCTATGCATCCCGTTTTGAGCCCTGGAGATTCCCAGCCGTTCATCGACTGTGGCTTTTTTTGTGTGTATGTGTGTCCATATGATTTCCTTAAAAAGCAGAGACTGTTGCCAACTCTGCAAAGTAGCCCCAAATGTGTTCTTTGTGGGTTTTGCAAAAGGAACATAAAGGAATGGGGCTGAACCAGTCCAGGCTGATTTTACTAGCAAGGAATCACCATCTGTTGTAAGATAGTTTCTCATTTTTTTTCTCTCAAGTTATAGGGAGGGAAGAGTAGTTTCCCACGTGTTTGACAAGGAATCACTTTTAAAGTTTTGCAAGTTGCTGGGCTGAACCTGTTGTATTTCTTCCAAGAGGCATTTGGGTTTCATTGAGGCCAGTGACTTTGACAGGACTCTCCAAGCAAATTGCTGACTGCTGCTATAAACAAACAGCTATCAGACAAAACAGCAACTGGGGATGTAAGCAAGGGGATTAGAGTAGCCTCTAGTCCATCAAGCAAAAGGCACTCTTGGTAGAAGTAATACAAGGCTGTTTTTAGGCATGAAAAAATGTAAGATAATTTTTCCCCCTCTTTACTGGGTTGGGGAAAGGAATGAAAACACAGAAAATAACTATGGACATGTGGAAAGAGACAAGATGACTCCTTCCCTTCATCTCTGGTTCACATGCTTAGCTTTGGTGATACGGAAAAAAAAAAAAAAAAACTATCAATGTCTCCATGAACTCAAGTATTTTCCTTGGATAAGCTTTTTATTTGGACATATGGAATGAAACTTACTTAATGTTTTTCAGAGATCTTCCTAGTGTTTCCAAAATAGAGAGCATCAAGTTAATTCAAATTATTCTCATGCAGAAAAAGTAGGTCAAAGGTGATTGATTTTTCATAATCCAGCTTCAATAATTGCACAAGAAAAGAAGTACTTCAGAATTTAGTTCTCTTCCTATTCAAGACAATTTCCTGGAAAGGTTCAGATTTTTACTTGAGGAAAAAGAAAATATGGTAGGTAACTAATTACAATATTTTCTTGCATCGTGAAGCCCCAAAATAATAAGATCTGTTTTAGCTACAAAAAAACAAAGGTATGGGAGAGACTGGCCACAAACAAGTCAACTGTGATTAAGTTGAAAAGAACTGAAGATTTCTAACCCTCTAATTGTAACAAGTCAAGTCATGTATTCGTCAGCCACAGCAGTTTTGCCTGTCTCGTTCACTCCTATGAAACACAGCCTGACGTTATATGTGCTCAGTAAATACTTCTCAATGTACAAAGTCTATGAAAGGCTCTGGAATAATAGGGCCATTATATTTGTCATCTTGATGCTGATCCAGACAGAAGCCATTTCAAGGGAGTGATTGAGATGGATTACAAAGGCATTAAGAGTGGGGCTAGGATGCAGGATATGAAGATAGAGGTATGAGGAGCATAGCAGAGTGGGGTTAAGAGGGCCACCTTTGCAGTAAAGCTACCTGGATCTGAATGCCAGTTCTGCTACTCAGTAGCTGGGTGACCCTGGGTAAGTAACTTAATCTCCCTATGTCTATGTTTTGTTTCTTATAAAATGAAAAAAAAAAATAGTACCCACACAAAGGTACTTAGAATAATACCTAGCACATATTAATCAATATTATTATTATTATTACTATTATTATTATACATAAATTTTAGAAATACTACAGGAAATTCCCATATAACTTCCACCCAATCCCCGCCATGGCAACAACTTGCATAACTATAGTTAAATATCACAACGAAGAAACTGAACTTCAAACAATCCATCCTACCCTAGTTAGATTTCACCAGTCTTACATAGTGAAATCTAAAAAGGGTCTATTTAATTCTATGAAATTTTATTTACATGTGTAATACATTTGCTTTTTAGGGAAAGATAAGAGATGGGTAACAAAGAGCAGTTAGAGAGCAAACATTTTGTTTTTTAAGGGAGGAAAATACTATGGTCTGATGTACTAAGTAGGAAGAGAGCCAGGAAGACACAGGAAACGATTAAATCAAAGAACAATGTTTCTGAAGGAGGAAAGGGAAGGTGCCCAACAAAGTCAGAGAAACAGAGGACTAAAATGTCTTCCACCGTAGTAAGAGGTGAATGTGGCCGAGGTATATCTTGTGAGCTAGGAGTGGAGAATGGACAATTCAGAGGAATTCACTTCTAATGAGCTCTGTTATCTCTGAAAATAGAAGACAGGGCAATTAAAAACAAATGGGGTAAGAAATATACTTTACAGAATTTCTGGGTTCGATAGGAAGGAACAAAAGATCTTCCAAAATGGAATGAGAGAAGCCGATGTTTTGAAGATATTCTTATAGGTGAAAGGGGCCCATGGTGCATAAACTGTACTCTTGGGAAGCCTCTGAAATTCTTTACAGCACACTGAAATACTCTCCTTAATCATTATAGGTATTTTTAAAATTTGCAGAAGAATTCAAATCAGTTCACTGCACTTTTAACTTAGTAAAGACTTTTCAAAAACAGGATCCACAAAGTGCTAAACATGAAGAATAAGCCTTGATAACATAAACTGCATTAAAATCAGGAACTTCTCTTTATTACATGCCTTAAATGCAAACTAAAGCTAGGTATGATATACCACTACATATTCACAGAATGATTGAAGTGAAAAATCCAACAGTATCGGGTGTGGTGAGGATGTTGAGTAAATCCCATACACTGTTGTGGGATGTAAATTGGTCTACCAACTTCAGTAAACAGATATACCCTAGCACTCAACATTCACTTATCCTCTGACCCTAAAATTTAATTCTAGGTATATATTCAGCATAAATGTCTTCATATATTTCCCCAAAATAAATGTGCAGGCACACTGTAACAATCCCAAATTTGAAATAATCTAAATTTTCCACGTGTAGTTGAATAGACACATAAATCACAGCACACAAAGAATAGGCAAAGCCATGAGGATTAATGAACAATTACATGGAACAACATGAATGAGTGGAAGAAAGAAGCCAGGTACATACCAACAAAATGAGTGCATATTGAAAAAGAAAATTTATACAACATTCACAAATAGGTTACCTTGGGGACCAAAGTAGTAAGTAATTTGAAAGAGAAATGAAGAACATTCTAGCACTTACATGTGTGCATTCAGTGTGAGAAAACAGATTTATGATTTTGTGCTAGTAGGCATGTTTGTTGTAGCTAATATAAAGTTATATAAAAAAACTGAAAAAACTTGAGTCAGGTAGTAAAAAACTCAATAGATGTGATAAATACTAGATTGCATTCAAATGAATACAGAATTAGAAGAAAAAAACCAATCACTCCATGGAGAAACAGATGGCCCCCAAATCAAAGCGGACTCTAAATCCTTTCAATGTGGTCAGAGGAGAAAATAGGATCCCAGCATTGAAGAAAAAGAAGGAGGCCAGAGCAGCCATCATACTGTGCACACCCAGGTTTTATTCTTGTTTCTTTACTTCTATTCCTTATTACACTTGCTCCCTTTGCAATTTCATCTCCTTTCCATTGCTTTAAGTGCGGTTCATATGACTGATGATTTCAAACTTACACCCCAGCCACACTTCTCTGATGAGCTCCAGATTCAGGTACCCGACTACCTGTTCAGCATCGCCGTGTGGACATCTAATGGACATCCCGAGCTCAACATCACTGAAACTGACCTCCTGATCCCCCATCCCAAACCTGTCCTGTTCCAGGATGGAAACTCTACCCTGGCAGTTGCTTCGGTAGAAACCTTGTGCCATCCTTCACTCCAGTTTTCTCACACCCTATAGCTAACCCACCTACAAATCTTGTTGCCTCTATCTTCAAAATATATTCAGGACTTCACCACTTCTGCCCCTGTGGCCCGGGGCACCATCTCTCTCCTCTGGCTCACCGTAATAACTTCCTCAGTGGTCTCTGATTCTACCCCAGATCCCCTCTGGTCTATTAGTAACAGAGCAGCGAAAGGGAGCCTTTCAAAACATAGATCAGATCACTTCTTGGCACAAAACCCTTAAATTCTCATTTCCTCAGAGTAAAAGGCAAAGTCCCGTAATGAACTGTGAGACCAGGCAAGGTCATTTCCCGCTGCTCAACACTGTTACTCTATGTCACTCTGGAGGCTCCTCCAGCAAGCTGGTCTCATATTCCTGGAATACACTGATACACCCTCACCCCAGGGGCTTTGCCAGGGCTCTTTCCTCTGAAATAATTCTCAACCTCCTGATACTCACCTTAAGTCTGCTCAAATATTATTTTATCAAGGGGGCTTGCCCAGACCACATTGAAATAGCTGTCTATTCCCCTCCACCCC